ACCGCGAGGACGACCCCAACTTCTTCAAGATGGTGGAGGGCTTCTTCGACCGCGGCGCCAACATCGTGGAGGACAAGCTGGTGGAGGACCTGCGCACCCGCGAGAGCGAGGAGCAGAAGCGCAATCGCGTGCGCGGCATCCTGCGCATCATCAAGCCCTGCAACCACGTGCTGAGCGTCTCCTTCCCTATCCGGCGCGACGACGGCTCCTGGGAGGTCGTGGAGGGCTACCGCGCCCAGCACAGCCAGCACCGCACGCCCTGCAAGGGAGGTGAGCGCGTCCCCGCGGGCCCCTCCCCGGCCCCGGGTGTGGCAGGCTCGCTGGACAGCGGTTTTCCGCCCTAAAACTTCCACGTCGGCGGCCCGCCCTCCTCGTCACCCGGGCCCTGGCTGCACCGATGCTGTCTGCAGAGCTGACAGTACTCCAACCGGGGATCGCGGGATGGGGTGGGGTACCCCGCCAAAAGGCACTTGTAAAAAAGGCATCGGTGGCTGGTCCCGCCGAGGCTGCCGGGCGAGGTTTCGTGGGCGCCTACGGTAGGATTCTCCCCCATTGCGACTTTGAAGTTGTTTTCCGATGTGTTCATTTTGCAACATCATTGACAGATAATATAGAAAGCAGGAAATGACCTCGATAGTTGTACTGACCAAAGGAATTTACTGAGCTCATGTTACTCTTGCGAATTATTTTTACATTCTGAGAGTGTGCATTGGTGCCCCCTCCCAAATTCGGGCAGGTTAAAATCTCTGCCAGCAGCAGCAGGCGTCCTGATGGTACACACACCCATGGCCCGCCAGCCAACAGAAGGAAACAACCTGGGGGTGTGTACGCGTCCGGCCCAGTAACAGATCAGAGAATGGGGAAAGATAAATACAAAGTCAGTCGGGTACTATTTGGTAATTACCGTGATATCCTGTAGTTTCGAGTTGGGGATCTCTGCAGATTTGGTTTCTGTGATCAGATTTGCTTTTTTAGGGCGAATAAAAGCTTTTTTTTTTTTTTTTTCCCAACCACCACCTCCCAGTATATTGCAAAGCACTGTACATCTTTAAAGGTGCTTAAAAGTAACCTAAAATAAAGAGGACAAAACCTTTCTTATTATAAAGAAATAAAGGAGAATAAAAGACCCAGGAAAGAGAAGAGTTTCCCTGGGTTGGCGAATGAACAGCGAGGGGGTTGGGCTAGGCCCTTTGTCTACCTTAACTCAGTGACTGGCTTTCTGTCGCCTGCTGACTTCAAAGGGCACTTTTTAGAAATCCTTTCTTTACCAGAAAATTTCAGCTGTAATGGTATTCGAAATGGTCGAACAAAGGTTGTTACCTCTGGCTTAATGATTCACTAAATTTGCATTGACCCCACCCACACCTAGGGTTTACCTTTGGAGCTTAATTGCCCTTTAGTTTTGCCATTTCCTATGCTAGAAGCTGTTGGAGTCACTTTGACCTCTAATTTCCCTTCCAGCTCCAAAATTATATAAAATGCACAAACTGTCATTCTGCCTACCTTCTTCCTTCCACTCTTGTTCTGCAGACCAGAAACACGGAGCTAAGCAGACAAGGATTTTGGAGGAGCAGGCAATATGTAGCAAATCTAGGCTCAATTGCTGTTTCTGTGAAATGTGCATTGAGTTTGTTTTACTACTTCTGACAGCATTTTCCAATCCCTTCAAAAATATACAAACCAGTACGTTTGGTTTTCTACATGGTCTGATTTGGTTTCTTTGAAGCTCTTTGTTCTTCCAGGCCCAGTTTCTCTTCTGTCTAAGTCACAGCTCCCTTAGTTGGTCAGTCTTCCCTAGTTGTCACAGCAGTTTTTATGCCACACTAGTGAATTTAGTAACAAATTGCATCACCTGTTCCAGAGCTCTGTTATTGTATTTACATAGAATATAGTCTCTTGTATGTAACGCACAAACATACAGAAATTGATTTGTAACTAGACAGTAGCAAAAATTGTGAAGTAATGTAGCATAGAAGCAAATTAGACTGTGTAAAGTGATAAATTTAACAATTTAAAAGGCCTTCTGGATTGATAAATATATAACTGTGAAAGCCTTTAAATGCTGTACCTGATTGGCAAAATTTGCTGTCAACATTCAGGGTACACATTTATCACCCTCACTTGATTATAGAAAACATAACGTACATTCTAAACTGAACTTATTTTCAGTGAGGTTTTCTACACTAACATAATTGATCTTTTTTGATGTGTAAGTAGGTTGTTAAAAACAAACTGTTTATGGGTGGCACTTTTATTTCCAGCTAGTCCAAAGGCTTAGGTCAAAGGATTTCTTGAGCCCAAGAGTTCAGGGCCAGCATGGGAAATATAGGTAGGCTTGTTTTGTTTTGTTTTGTTTTGTTTTGTTTTGTTTTGTGTGTACCGGGGATTGAAACCAGGGCCTTCACCTAAACATTTTGTTTTGTTGAGACAGGGTCTTTTTAAGTCAGCCAGGCTGAGGTTGAACTTGGCCTCCCTCACAGGGTGCTAAGGCCCTGTCTTTTATCTCTTCAGTAAAAAATTAAAAAGAGAAGGAAAAGGAAGTTGTTAATCTTGGTCCCACTCTGGTTTTAGAATATATTAGGTAATTGGGATAAAAATGGTCCTGATAGCTATTTCTCTCTTAAACATTTTAGCCATACTCCTCCCACAACTAATCTGGCTTCTTTCCCAGTGTTCTTTGCAGAAGAAAAAAGCTCATCTGCTCCTCGCCATCCTTTTCCCACCCTAGCTTTTCTATATCTAATATTTCCTCCACCATGACCTTATGCCTGAGTTACCTAAAATAAAATTCTCAAAGTTGAAGACAAGCAGCAGTCTAGTTGCCTGTATAAGAGAAAGATGTTTAAAGATCTGGGAGTGACTGGCAAGTACTTTATTGCAAATAAATACTTAAAATTGTGTTTTCCCGCATTTTTTGAATAACACATTTGAGTCTGCTTGATTCGCTTGTTAAGGGTTTGCAGGAGGATGTGCTATATAGACTCTGAAGTCAGGTCAAGTAACTTAAAAATAATTTCAGGAAGTCTGTTGTAGTGTTCATCCTTGTAACCTTAGCACTCAGGAGGTTGAGGAAGGGCGATCCTGCGGTTTTTGGTTTTTGACATTCCAAGTTTGAGGCCATCTTGACTTACATAATAGGTTCAAGGCCAACAGTGGCTTATATTGAGACCTGGTCTGAAAAGTAAGTATTTGTTCAGCAAGAATGAATGTACCATTGATTTGAGAAAACTAGTTCAAGGTTCTGGTATGCTTAAAGAAATCTGCACTAGAACTGCAAGTGTGATTTTTGTGTTGTTGGGGTTTTGTTGTTGTTGGTTTTGGTTTTAGTTCTGAGAATTGAACTCAGGACCTTGTGCTTGCCAGGCAGGCACTTGTGCCACTGAGCTATCTCCACAGCTTTTTTGGTATGGTTTTTTGTTTTTGGGTTGTTTTTTTTTTTGGGGGGGGGGGGATCAGGAACGCTTGCCAAGCAAGCACTTATGCCACTGAACTATATTCCTCCAGCCCACTGCATTAGAGACTGCATCTGTGAACTTTTTCAAAGTCAAGTCTGTGTTTCATTGGTTATTAGCCACAGTTCTGCCTGAGGCCAGTCTACCTTTTCAAAAGGAAGTTTATCACTCAGAGGTCAGCTAGAGGAATGGTATGCACAGGTGATGGTGTGGTCAGTTTGCTTTCTCTTTAAGTCTGCCCCACTTTGTTGTGATCTTAAAACTTTAGCCAAAATTCTCCTATCCCTGGTTCATTCTCATGTCTTAGAACTTTCTAAGGCCATCAATCATTTAAGTATAATGGATGGGTCGTTGATAGAATCAGGATGCAGAGTCAAGATATGCTGACCCCAGCCTTTAATTATAAAGCTGTGCTCACCTCCACCTGTGTGTAAGAGCCAGCTTGCAGAATCATCCCTAAGAGGTAGGTGGTCTCCCCTGGGCCAGAGGAGGGCCACATTGGGGCTGGGCCTACAAATGAGTTGACCTGCCTTCCCAGGGGTGGCAAACTGGATGTTTCTTTTATTTTTTGCTGTGCTGAATGGACAACTATCAAAACTTGGGTATCTGAACAAACTCACAAACTCTGATAGTCTGAAAGTATGGCATTGTGTGTGGGAATCCATTTAGCAAGCAGAAACTGCCAACTCACTTCACAAAACACTTAGAATTAGGGGACTCTCAAATAGAAGGCTAAGTACCAGTATCTGTTAAAGTCTAGTTTACTGTTAAGTTGAGCTCTCAGGCTCATAGTGGAAAGCAGTTGGATTTACCACTGTTGGTTAATTGGATTCTCTATTACTGCTTAGGAAAATCATTTCCCTCCGTTAATGCTATGTGTGGTAGCAGATACCTGTGATCCCAGCAGTCAGAGAGGCTGAGGCAGGAGGATCACAAATTTGGGCACAGCCTGGGCAAAAATAAATAAGCAGCAACAAAAATATACTAACACTTTCTGCCTTCAGTGAGGCCACGAGGCAAAGCACTGGACAGCCACAGTGGTGGCTGCTGTTGAATGCTCTGCATGCCGTTAGGAGCTCTGCATGCATCCTCTGATGCCTCATCACAGTGTCCCCAGGAACTTGGGTATTGTGACTTTCATGCTTTCTGAAATGAGCCACTGCCCTTGATGTCCAAAGGCTAAAATCTGAGCATGGTGTTCTTCAGCAAGGTGACACAGTCAGCATGAGGTTGGACTGGAGTGTTTGTTCCAGCCCTCATCATGATGATTACTGTCATTGACTATCTAAAAAGTTACAGATTTTGTCTATTGGAAGCTACTAAAAGACCTACCTTTTTCATGCCTGTTCAGACAGCTTTACATATGAATATAATCAGAAATGATCTCTTTAGCACTTCATTTATTTTAGTTGCTGAAGCATTGACGTAACATATCAAAGAGTTTTTCTATTAAATGTTTGAAGACCTTTTTTGAAGTCCTGCATTGATAGGACTTTTTTGGATAGGTTCTCACAATATAGTTCAGGCCTGCCTTGAACTTACAGCAATTCTCCTGTGTAAGCTCCACCCCAGTACTGGGATTGCAGGCATATTCCACCGTGCCTGACTTGGTAGGACTTTTAGAAGGGTGAGGTGATGCACCCCTATAGCCCCAGATCTGACCCGCTGAATTGCCCAGGCTGATATCATGGACATTTGCCACTCAGCCTGCAGTGTCTGTGTTCACTTCTTATCCCCAAATAATTCCCCTCCTCTCTGAAGACCCATCTCAAATATCACTTAGACTTGTAAATAGTTTATACGAAACTGGATATCTGA